TCTTAACTCATTGCCTGGGAGAGGACCTTCGATGTCCAGATTGACACTGTCACAGGTACGTTTCCTTGGAGACTAAACATATGATTATACGTTGAAGGCAGCGCTATGTGTATGCGCCCCACACTCTGGAGGCCACATGGGACCGCGCGACGTGTATGCGCCTCGCAACCATGTCATTCTATTTTGCGCCGCCTCTTTTCCGATTTCTTGCATTTATTCTATAGATAACACCATACCTAACCTATAGATGACGGCGCTCACAGAATTGCCAAGTGTTCTTCAATTCAGCGAGCGTTTTCTAAGCCTCGTAGAAAGTTCAGTTCGGTTCATTCTATTTTCGTCCTGTTTTGGCTCTTCATTGTCATTACTGTCCTTTCGGTCGAATTCATCGGCCGGATCATTGCTACGCATGAACATTTCTGAATAACTTCGAACCATACATGTTTTGAGCATCCACCCAATCAAAGCCCATGTATTTGAGGTGAGGCGGCCGCGCTCTCAAAATCGCGCCGATCCCATGCAGCCAAAAAAGTAGAAACGCTTAATGGTCGAAGTAAAAGTGATATTCAGATAAAATAAAAATCAAAAGTAAATAGACAGGACACCATTCAAGCGCAGCCGTTTCCAGGGTAATATTTGAATAATGTGGAAAATATTCACATAAATGCAGAATAGCAGATTTCGGCATATCAGACTTTAAAAGAAAGCGTACATAGAAACGGCACGGTTCTATTCTCCTCTCGGTGCTTGAAACCCATTTCTCAACGATATGATCAAAAAGAGGGAATGTTGTGGCTAACTTCGCTATGAAAAAAAATCCAAAAAACTCAAATTATCACCCGTTCGAATTCTAGCCAAACAGCTGGCACAATTGCCAGCGGCGGAAAGACTTCCACTTGCTTCATGACGCGCTTTCTCTAGAAAATCTTTTTGGTCTCCCTACCCATGGTAGGAACATTTCGCTCTAACATATCAGTAGTCACTAGTGTATCGCCGCTCGCAACTGCTCAGCTGTATTTTGGGGGCGAGTTGGAATAGATCAGGCCGAACTAGGTTTAATGACATCATTGTAAATTGACCAGAGTGGGGTGGTTTTGATCGTAGGGAAGAGGGTCATATCGAGACCTGAACTAGATGAGGGTCGTATAGGCGATTTCCTCGACGCGGTTCACTAGCCACCACCACGGCCTTCGTTCCACGCGTTCTCTTGGCTCCGCCTAGGCAGCTGTCTTTGTTCAGTAAGTGTGATTTTCGATGGTTTCTTTTTTCACGCACACACTTTTGTGCGACTCTGTACGCCACAGGACTGATCATACGTGATGCATCTATGTGGAAAAGAGAGACAACAAATCTGTGCACGACTCCTTTCAGTTCGAAAGAGTGAAAACATCATGTTTCGAAAAGTTGCACCTACACTGTTCAAATCGTCAATAGCGCTGGCTGTGAGACCGGAAACATCCTGAATCAAGAATGAAGCGAATAGAAGAAAAAAGCTTTTCAAAGTATTCCTTACAGCTGAATCGGCACACACGA